AGAATATCTTAAGTTTGTTAAAAGAGTGCTCTAATGTTTAAGCTTAGGATCGTTTCCTGCCCATTTTCTGACCACATCAAAGGATACTTTAAGATGTATCCTGATAAACAAACTTGATACCTAAAGTTCTGCTATTCTTGCAGCTCTGGCAATGGTCATTTCAATATAACTCAAGGAAAACAAAATATCGAAAATGCTCATCTTTAGCATGCAATAATAAAAACACTTCGTGTCATCTTTCTAGGTAGCGATGACTTTGAAATCTAGGGAATAATGCTGTTGAAACTTTTGCGTTGATATCGCCATTGTTCTGAACAGATGAGAAAGGTTTCTGTAATTGCAATCAAAACATTTCACTTCTTTGCTAGATGCAATCAGTAAAGTATGAAATAAAAAGAAGAATAATTCTTTTCTTAAAAACAAACGTTTAAATAATCAGATAAGAAGCAGATTAGTGGTTATAAATATCTTTTTCGATCATGAGACGAGCTCACTTTGCACTACAGTAATAAATGCTGATATTCGTGTATTATAAGGACCGTCTAAACGAATATTTTTCAAAATTAAATCGCAGTGCAAAGCAGAGGATAAGTGACTGCGATCGATGAACGGGGGTCGCGCTTTAGGTTTAACTTAAGCAAGGTGTGTTTTGCTTAGTTGGACTGACCTGCTATAGCCCTGAAATGATGGACTAATTAACCAGTAGTATTCTGAATTCATAAAACTACTTCTCATGGCTTTTTCGGAAGTCCTGTAAAATAGAAGACACTGACAACAGACCCAGAATGAATAATTGGGACCATAATTCTTACTGATCTGAACAAAATAAATGGCAAGGTCGAATCACTTTGTGTTTGTTTCGGAAGGAGAACCATGACAAATTAATTATATAAAGGGAGGTCATGAGAAATATTGACAAAAAAATGAATCGAACATATGAGACACCAACTCACCAGCTTGAAGCTTCTGTTATTTCGCATATATATTTAGCTAAACATGAAAAAAATTCTTTACTGAACATGGATTCGACATTTAGACCTGGCATTCGCCGTCGTCAGATAATGAACAACATAGTATGCCGCTAACTAGTTCAATTGGAACATGGCCAATGAGTTGAAAATTTTACTTATCGTTATTGAAGCAGTTAATTAGTCTTGAAATATGAAACAAGCTGACACAATCGATTAAAGTTGAGCTTCAGATATCTTTGATTGGAAGCGATTCCGTAATTAGTAGCTTCATTTTGTCTCGGTGCCTTCGATCGCTTTAACGTCGCTGATGACATGACTACAAAGGCTGAAGCAGGAGATCTATAATATTCAGCTTTGCAAATGACTTTCCTATTTAACGTTACTGATGTTCTAAAGATCGATAAGCCTTGCCAAAGTTAATGCAGTCATAATTCGATAGACGACGTTTCTGTCTTCTGTGCATAGGCGAGGATCAAGTATTTATGCATGCGGTTTCTTGCGGTGTTACACCAGGGAAAAACGCAAAAAGATCATAGCTTTACTAAAATGGTCAAATTTTGCTCAGATTTGCCTGGGACATGAGTTATTAAAATTTGTTCACTGCAGCCAAATTAAAGCACTCAAATATAAAATCAACTTCCGTTACACAAACAGCCGTTATTAAGAAATGTTAATGAAAGGAGCCTTGTTTCTTGTCTAGGCAGTCAGTCAACCGTACAGTAACTTGAAAACCAATGACTCTGCGTTTCACGAGATCCGTAAACATATACTTCTGAGTACAAGGTGCACCTTGAAGATAGTTTCCATGTTCTACGAAGGACAGAAACAATTTCAGTCTTGTTGAAGAAGAGTGTCGAAAAATGCGACCTGGTAAATGTGTTTATGCCGCACAATAAGTTTTACTAACTTAATAAGAGTTCACATGCAGCCCGCTCAGGTAGGCTGAGGCACATTTCATGCCCTCACTCACCAGTGATATCGTTACGCGACCAAATCTTCATGAAATGATCCACCTTCGCCTGTTACACTGAAAGAAATTTGAGGATGCGTTGGCAATGGTTTATGATCGTTGACACCCCAAATGGACTGCTGAACAAATATTCGCCAAAAGACTGTCAAGTACGACACAAAAGAAGTGCAGGTAACTGCGTTGTCCTAAGCCGCACCAGATTCGGCAATCCACAGGATGTAATCGCCAAATGGACTCAGAACGCAGTTAAGACGTTCATGGGCAGCGCTAATGCAAGAAAGCTATCCAAGGCTGTGTTTAATGTGTCGAAAATGGGGATAATCAAGCAGAATGTTTCTGAAATAGGCGAGACCTGAAAATCCACCGAATGTAATGTGGAATGGAACAACGGAGACGAAATGTTCCTCGGTAAGGCCTTTAAGATCCGAGCTCAGAGCGGCTGCTTATTGGTTTCATGACAAAGAGGAGCACGGTACCATCTTCACTGAGCAGTTATATTATGCAGTATATCACTTCTGTTGTTACAGATGGTCAAATGAGCAACGGTATGAAATAATTTAATCATTCAACCCCACATGTTGAGGAGATCCAGAAATTCAGTGAAAAATTAGCAAGTACAATGGAGAAGAAGGTTGCATATGGACAATTTTCGAATAAGAGTTCGAAGAAAAATGAACAACTCTGAAATACGGAAGAAGCGAAAGAAATGAACAAAGCAACCGCTTCCCAATTTTCATTGAAAGCAGCCGCAGCCAACCGTTTTCCAGAAAATCCCTAAATTACAGAGAACACAGAAAAGTCAAGATGGAAAATCCCTAATCCAAATCGACTATGGTTTGGTGGACAAGAAACGAATAATATTGAATATGCCAATCATAGGCGAAAATATCATATCTGCGAGGTAAGATAACAATATTACGATCAACAGTTACGACAGATGTCTTAACAAGCAATAGATCGAAAGAGCCCAAAAATGCTGTCATGATGATTGCTATAGTTGTGTTTTGAAGCTGATGAACCTCGAAATGAAGGATAGGAGGGTGCAACTTGTCGAAGTATTCGAGCACGGACCCGCATCACCGGATGAGCAGCAATTGGCCGGCGCAACATTCTAGGCAATCTAGACTCATTCCAGGAATTCAAGTGATCATAATGAAGTGACTCCCGCTTCGCTGTCATTCCGTTATTCGAGAACCGGAAGTCATCCGCAAGCCCTCTTCTATAAAAGTACCGACCATCCCAAAAAGAGAGTACATGTCCAGTATTCTATACAGCATATTGTCTTTAGTCATCCAATAAACAGTTCTTCTGTACCATAGAACACTAATCCATCGACCTGGAAGGCTGAATGCCGTAAAACTGTTGCCTGAAGTGGGATTATCCACGTGAAATCGCGAAATGACAGATAGAGAAGCCTTGGAACGCGGCAGTTCCAGCAGCGAAGATGGAACGACCGATTCTGATGGCTAACCAGCGCTTAAATGGATGAGGGGTTAGACAGGTAGATGACCAACTTCGAAGAAGTGGCCCTTATAAACCGCTCGACCGAGATAGAAACACTTCAGTAGCTACCGGTGTCCTTAATCGATAAGGCAAATATGTTTTTCATAGACCGCCGTTGAATTAAAGTCCGAATATTGATGGACAGTTCTTCTATTGCGGTGCATTTGGTAGCCATCGAATAGAAGAATTCTGTACCTACCCGAACTGAAGCATCCAGGTGTCAAGCCACATGAAGGCTGGATAGTGATAGTCAGGGATGTCAGTGGCCCAGTGGAAAAGTCATCCCTCGATAAGAGTGCTAGAGACTTGCTAACCCTAGACAGGTTCCTGAAATGATCTTGCTCGCTGGTCAGAAAGGACCAGAATCGTCGCTGAACACTGCCGCTGGCACCGCCAGAGACTCCATCTGTTTACGCTGCCGGCAGATGACGGTCCTGATGAGACTGAGCGACCTTCCACGAGCTTAAGTCCTGCAAAGTAAATGTTGTATTTTCTACAAGTTGGTATGGGTCAGTTCCAGGAGGCAGTCAGAGGCCTGCTAGTCGAACACCTAGAAAGTCAGTGTATGCTGAGTATTCTGCACAGCCTGTTGTCTGCAGTTGTCTAGCAAACTGTTGCTGTCTCGTCAAGCACCGAACACTAGTCAATTGCTGCAGAAGGCCATGATTTCTGGCAGGCTCCAACGCTACAAGGCTATAATGACAGATTATGACCATTACGACAACGCAGTGCAGACTGCTAATCGAACACTAAACGGAACAGCAGAATTGATGAGAAACCAGCACAGTTATCTTTGAACAAACAGTGGTTTCACAGATACACGTAAATGTCAAAGAGAAAAGAAACAGCGAAGAGACTGTGGAAAGGTTGAATGAAGACTGCAAAAATTACAGGAGAGTACTATGAAATGAAGCTACGGAGAGAAAGAAAGGCCTAAAAGCTAACGAAATTGATTTTTGTCTAAAATTGCGAAGTCTGAATACGCTTAAAGGTGAAGGAGAAGCAAGATCTACCAAACAGGCTTGCAAGATACTGGGATATACCTTTTGTGTTGTCGATGCATCTGAAGTTTTGCCACCCGCTGGCCTAGAGAATTTCGCACAGATGGGTGCGCAATTCTGTCCGGAATAGCATTTGGCGAACCGACTTATAGCTGGAACGCAGTAGTGAAATTTTAAGACACTTTTCTTCAATGGGACAACTCGCTTTTCCTCCGTACTCTAGAACTGTCATTGAGCATTGTGACTTTTTCTGTGAAACACCGAACTTGTCCCGCTCTGGTAGTATCACCACTGCCTGCCCATCACTGCCTATTTGTCGTAAATAACCTCCATATCTGGAGGTCACTTCCCTACCAGTAACTCCGGGTTGGCCAGATGGGCGGTTACGTATATATGTATTCCAGTCTTTCCAGTGTTCAGGAGAATTCAGTTTCAACATTTTGTCTAAAGTGAATTAACATAATTATACGAGTATTCGAAGTTAAAGGAAATGCAGCAGTAACTGTATAAAGTAAAGCTGACGAAAAATTTCGATGTTCATAACAAATTTTTTAGTGCGATGTTCACGCTGTATATGAATATGTGAAAATCATGCAGATATCAGCACCAGTAGTGTGGTGGCAAGCAATCTGTTACCACTACGTCCGAAGGACGAGGCAGATAACCAGGTAAGAAGAGTTGTTAAAAAAGAGGTGTTTCTTCGATTGATAAATCCTGGACAACATTCGATAAACATTCTGATTTAATGTTTTGCACATTTATGACTTTCCATGTTTGAAGTGAACTAAATACAATAAATTTTACTACCTTTCTCTTCTCATGATTAAAAGCCTATGAAATACTAACGTTTGCACTTCACAGTCAAAGCTCTTTAAATAAATATCCCTTTAAATGTTGATGACAAAGGATGAACCTGACAAACCCATCTATAATATAGAGGATTTAAAATCAGAATGCTTGACACTGGGAATTACCGTTTTCTGCTTTCATTTTAAGATCATACAGAAATTCAGATGATACGCAAGCGAAATCCCATCATACGAATGGTTTCTCAAGGAATCTTTTTTTGGAGTTCAAAATTATTGAAAGTGGACTTAATTCGCCACACCGGACTACCATTGTTAAACTGAATTCTTGGAGTTTTATAAAAACTTCCACATTAGTGCCGCAATTCGCCATGTCTTCGTTGAACAGACTTGATCAAGCCTTCTCTAACCTCCCCCATCGTCTAGCACACTCTAATCGTGTGCACTGGTCTTCGAGTTCTACCACTTGTTCAAACTCTTACTCAAGCCCCTTTTCTCTGGCCCTGGTATAACTGAAGCGTCAACACGTGTGGACAGCATCCCCTTATCGTACATCTAGCCGAACATTAATTGAATCGATCACTCAAGCGTCACTCGGATGAGAGCCATAAAATGGAGTGTTTTAAACGATACTCTACCGACTTCTTCTACGTCGTTAACGCCTGAAAAGAATGCAGAATTCCGCACCGGTCGGTAGAGATGGCGGCGGTTCTTCTCGCCAACCGCCAAATAGAAGTTGACTATTTTCAGAGCGGTGTATACACTTTTTCGACTAGTTGTTTCGCCACCTATTAGATATGGAAGGCCTATAAGGCTTGTACCTATAATAATCACAACAACCGACACAGGTGCAATCGATCTACGATGTCGAAGGTTTTGACAGATAAATGAAAAGCGATCATTATTTATGACTTATGGTCACGGCGGCAACTCCGAGAAAGGAGGAGGGTTAGAGACCGTGGCAAGTCTCCGTTAAATTCAGCCACCTGCCACTCATGGTATTGACGCCATCGAAAATTATACCCGCTCGGTCGTCGCCCGGGTTACCAAGGGCCGCGAAGGC